TACATATACAGTGTTTAATAAGGACATGATGGAACATCGTAGGCTATATATACATATATATAAATATAGATATATAAATGAAAAAATATTCATATATCTTCATAGCATTACTGCAGGATGATTTCTTTATTATAGCATGATTTATACTGGATTTATATGCAAAACACCAATGTTTATATTAATATGCTCAATTTGAACATTATTTTGATTTCTTACTAATGTTTTTAGAAAGGTACACATTAAAACAAATTACATATTGAACTATTGAATGTCAGTATATTTCACTTTAAACCAACAGCCAACCAATGTGTTCACATCGGCATACCTTTCAATGGGACACGCGACTGCACTGGTTTTACAACTGGAGAATCGTGCATCTTTGAATGTGGATGGAATTATCGAATAGTGGGATCTCATAGAAGAGAGTGTTTACCAAGTGGCGTTTGGGACGGCCAAATAACTCAATGTGAAGGTTTGTGTCGAAACAAAAAGCGTAATTTTAATAGCACGTAAAATAATATATTTTATTATTAAAGGTAATATAATATTATATAATAATCTGTGGTGGTAATGATAATATAATTATCATTATACTAATATCACACATTTACATGAAATAGATATTCACAATTTGAAAAGAAGTGTTTTATTTCAACAATAATGGTAAAATACCCTAATAACAATAGTATGTGTTGAGATGGAACTTAAATTAACCAAATATGTATAGTTGATAGTTAGCTACAGAATAAATAGTTTAGGCAATCAGCATTTTAAGTAGAACATGATTGTAAAAAATACCAGGGTATTCAGAAACCATCTGATCTACATTAATTAATTTTGGTATAACACTAAACATTCTTTGCACTAAGACTTTTGATGCGACTTTCTAATCTACATTTAATAGCGAGATAAGGCGCCAATTTCTCGATTTATTTCTGTCATAGCAGCTTGTCTCTGTGAGGGAAGATATTTGATTGTTCTGTAGACCAGTATTTAACACCCCTAAGTCGAAAAAAGTAATTAAATAATATAAGAAAAAAAACAAGTACAATTCAGAAGTAAGAAGAGGGAACAGTTAAATTTAATTTAACTGTTCCATGGTAAGACCATCATTTCCATGACTACTGATGCATTCTACACAAGTCAGTTCGCCCATTTTTCTCCTCACATAGACTTGGTATATTTTTAAGTCGGAAAAATACATATTTCCATTTCCAAAATATTTTAAAATCTCAATATCTGCAGATGCCTATATCAGTGCAGCTAGGGTGCAGATCAAGTTGTAATGTTTGACCAGCTTAAACAGGGCCTAGGCCAGCCCCATGTTTGACTGCACCATGCTAATGAACAAAAAGCCAAACCAAGGCAATATGGATGCAGCTCATGTGTGTATTCAAATAACACAAGCTATGTGCCTACTCGAATGTGGATTGTTATCGGACTGGAGCCTCAGTTCCAGTAGACACAGAGAATGTTTTGTGATTCTTAACATGTCCTACGAACAGACAGCACTAGACAAGATCTGAGATGTAAAGATGCAATCTCTACTGTGCATCAATAGCGAGCCACTGGATCTCAAAAGGGATTCTTTAATGATATATATTTTAATAGACAAATGGGATAAACCCATAAAAACAACAAACAGAAACATAATGCAAACAATTTAAAATTTAAACGAAACAGTAGAGAAAATCCGATCTGTACACACACACATACATTTGAAGGAGCTACAACCAATGACATTGAAAAAAAAACCTTACAAGTGGTAAAAAAAAAACCCAGATTAAAATCTGGGTTTTTTATGTTAAAAATGTGTGTAATGCTATATCTGTGAGTAAGCAAGGGATGTTTACCAACAACCCTAACATTGAGTAGGCCACTGCATAACTGAGTACGAGTATGTCACAAGATACCGCTATTTATTTTTACAACCCACAACGTGTGTCTATGAACTTGGAAAAATTCCTAACTAACGGTGACTTTTGATGAAAAGCTCAGATATTTCACCAGGGGGGTATATAGAGGGAGCTCTCACTGTTTAAAGCCATTTTGAGAACTGGCGACGTCATCGCTTGTGATTATGTCGTCTCTAAACAGGTGTGTCATCGGTTGGTATGGGTTCACAGGAGCACACACACACACACACACATTGATTTACACTTACACATGTCTTGTGTAGTTGTAAAATGTATTTATTTTTCTGGTTGTGTTACAGAAATTCTTTGTCCTGAAATACTGTCGCCAACCAATGGTTACACTTCTTATCCGTGTTACAACAACGTTGGCAGTAGATGCACATTTGGCTGTGATTTTGGTTATTTCTTAGAAGGAGATCCTGTTACAGAGTGTCAACTATCTGGATTATGGAGTAGTCCTGTCTTAGCATGTATTGGTAAGATATTTGTATCAACTTAAATAAAAAACAATATACAAAGCTTACCTCTTCTGTGTATTTCTTATTAAAATCAATTAAAACAATATTAAGGTAACAGTTGCGCACGAGTACACATTAACTTCATGCGTGCTTTTACCAGGGTACAGTTAAATTAAATGTTACATGTAATTTAGCTGTTCCCTGCTTGTGCATTTCTTAGACAGTAGGTATAAATATTTTTAGATTTTACAAGATTTTACCACTTTTAAATAGTTTAAGCCATGATAGAATAAAATGTTCATTCATTCTCAGTTATAAATGTTTTGATAATCACCTATTAAATTACAATTCTTCAATTAGGCAGTCAGTTGTTTGAGAAATCAGTTTTGCTTGCATTTCAGAAATTAACTTTTGCACGCCACCACCGTGTTTAAAGGGTGTTTGCCACTTATCCCAAATTGAGGCAGACGGTTATTTCTGCGATTGCTCTGGAACAGGTTATACAGGAACGCACTGTGAATACGGTTTTGTAAGAACACCTGATTGGCCTAGCATATGGGTAGGCAATGTCTACGAGGACTTGGAATTTTATGCTAAACCAAATGAAACACTCATAGTAACGATTATGACAGATCCAAGTAAAGTTGTCGTTGAACCCTCCAAACTATATTTTACTCCCAAATCGAATACCCAAACCGTTTCTATTCAAGGACGTGTTCAGGGGCCTACACAGATTCAGTATGTTTTGAGAGGCAAGGGAGCAGCTAAATTCATATCTCCAGATGCTGATGAGTTATTTGTGTTTTTAAATAATACGATTGACGATGGGTATGTCTACGGAAGGTATTTGTCACCAGGCAATCAACTACCGTTAGGGTGTTTTGAGCTGTCGGATCTATCTATATGTTCAGATCTTCAATTTATATCAACTGAAAAATGGGATGACATAAATGCTGCTGTTGAAACTAATGGCATTGTCGCTGTGACAACAGACACATTCGAGCTGCCACTTAATCTCAATGGATACTCCACCACAAATACCTATAACATAAAAGCCACATATCCTGCTAACTGTCAGAGTAAAGATATAACATTGAATGATGTCCAGGACTTTGTTCAACTTAATTCATTATATCGCACATACACACGACAACTGGAACGTATTCTTCCAGATTGGATTACTTTTATATCCACTAACATAGATCCAGAAAAATCTAAGGCATCCCTTTCTTCTTTGATACTTAGTGGCAAAAAGTTGAAATCAATCAAGTGGTGCTCGTCTGCCCCCGTAATTAATGATGGTCAGTACTCCGTTTATTTACTTTACAAGACTGAGTTGATCATTGGAGGTAGACATGTATCATTACCACTCCCACCATACAAAGGGAAATACTGCTTTATTGTGGGTGTGTGTAATATCACATCAGGAACGTTCATGATGATGTTTCCGGAAGGTTCACGAGATCTTCTAAGCTACATCAACGACAGAGACTTTGATGATTCTATTGACGTTGAAGTGAGTAGTCTTGCATTTTCAACGTCTAACATGTTGAATCCAAATGGTCAATATTGCCAAGACGATGACAAAATAAGCATATTTGCCAATCTCCAATATACATACATAATCAACCAAACAGTATATGCAAGACTCGAAGGCAGTGGAGATGTTCATGTGAACCTAGATGAAACAACACAAGTATGTTATATTTTATTTTAAAATATGAACTTTCTTTTATAAAATCCTACTATTTGCATAACAAACTTGTATTTTCCTCAATATCGTGATCTTTACAAAACAAATATTTGGTAGAGTAGCAGTAAAAGATAATTCACAGCGATTCTCTAATTTATATAAATTTAGAAGTTGTCAAACTGTTTAGTTCTGTTTAATTAGTGACTTTGCAATTTTAGACCTATATTAAGTAACTGAGGCAAAAAATAAGCAAAAAAAATTGTCTTTGGATGATATAAAAAATTTAGCTTATCTCTTTAATAATAAATTGAATGTAAATGTTATTAATTCAATTTTACAGCTATTTACTCGACTATTTACGCAGCTGTGGCAGATACAACAACATGGTAAATCCAAAATAAGATTGCAATGGCGAATTCTGGGTGAAGACGTATCACTAGAATTTGGCTCTAAACAAGTACAAAACTCGATACTAAATGCTAGCATTGGTGGTGAGTATTTTTAGTGTTTATTTTTGTGTTATTTTTATCAATATGTAAAAATCATTTTTATTAATAAATTACATTAGACTACCCTATTTAAATATTCAACACATTCACTTTAGTTTTTAAAAATCTGGTAATTTGCTATGCTTTCTTTCAACACTTTATGTTCTTGTCTATTAAACATTACCATCTTCATAGCTAATGTAGTAAATTATGCCACACTTCAAAGTAAGTTCTTATATTAATATGTAACAGAAGAGGAATCTGCTTTGTAATTACAATTGTTAGTCATTTTAACTGAAGAGTGGCACATCATGTAAAAAACTATTTGATAAATTAAGGGACAAAGCTTGATTGGAAAATTTATTTCTCTAATGTATGTAAAAAAAAATTGAGCACTCATCTGATGATATTTACAAATTGTTCAACTGTTTTAGTTGTGATTTTTGCATACATGGCAAACGTAATCCAGTTGACTACAAAGGCGTTGTGGTGATTCAAGTGCCGGTAGAATTTTAGTTTCTTTTATTTCATTTAATGTGCCTGGCGTCATAATTTAGATATACCGTACTCGCGCGATTAAACGCCCGGGCACTTAAAATATTTTTTGCACTTTCTGAGGGGCGCTTATTCGAACAGGCGCTTATGAAAACAGAGTGGAAATTGAGGGGGCGCTTATGGAAATAGATGAAAATCGAGGGGTTCTTATGGGAAATTATTATATTCAAGAGGGTGCTTTTTGAATTTAAGGACATTACGAATGGTGGTTAGGCGGAAAATATACCGTAATCGTCTAGAGAACATGGCTCATGACAATAATGCGTGAATATTTACATAACAGCAAAATAGCAGATGCAATTAGTGGTGGTGGGTAGTGGCTAGCTTGTTGGCCATTGGCCGATTTAGATTTGCAGGATGGCAGGATCATTGTATTTTTTCTTGAACACTCAGATGAGAATGTGCTACAGGTCGGAAAAAATAAAAAGAGGAGTAGGACTAGGCATAGACAAATAATGTAAAAAGAGTAAAGTTGAAAATATACTATCTGTACAGGGATATCCTCATTTTGATATTGACCAAATTACCAAGCATCCTGAATCAAACATTGTGACCCTCGAAGGAAATGACGTCACCATAATGTGCCAGGCGTCCGGAATTCCATCACCAACATTTAGCTGGATGTTTAATGGTCATACATTAAGTGGTGAACATCTAAATTCACTTTTCCTAACAAAGGTGGACGCCTCTCACTCAGGTACTTATATTTGCCTTGCGAAAAACACAGTAACTTCAGTTCAGTCAATGCAGTGTGATGTCTGTCTCTTATACACATCTAGATGTGTATAAGAGACAGACATCGTATGGTGTATTTGATGGCACGCCGTTTTCATGGTTACTTAACCACAAGGGTGAAGGAACATCCGTACAGGTGTTCATTGATTATGATTTAACACCGAGTATTTCTATCCCAACTGAACTTAGCTACGTAACACAGATTGTCAGTCAACTTCAGAACTTTACATCAGAGTTAATGACATTTGCAGAAGAGCTAATGTCATTTGGATATGACAACATGCACTCTGCGATTCGATCTTCAGCCAGTTACCTGGATGATACAATAAAAAACTATTTCAATGTACTATATAAAAATCAGATAAAACCAATTGCCAATTCTTTGTCAAAGTTGCGCATACAGTGTAAAGAAAATCTAAATGAGCTACGGTACATTAACGAAACACTTTTCAGCATTTCAAAGAGTCAACATAATTACTTTAAAAATGATCTTTTTAATTTAATTCAACGACAAGAACATCTCAGCAATCAGGTTCTCATTGAAGTTCAGACTGTTTTTGTTGAAGAAATTGCATCAGTATCTGGTTTTCGTATGCGCTCTGGGGTCTGTCTTTCGTCATATCTTTGCTTTCCATCGTTGGACCTTAAAGTATTTTATTCCCTGTCAAATACAAGCCACCACGAATACACAGAGTTGCAGACTGTCGAATCAAGTATGCCAAAAGTCTACATGAGAGGCACCTATGATACTAAAGAGAAACTCAATCGATTCATTAGCATTCCTATTGATGCAAAACTCAGCATAATGTTGCAATCCAATAAAAATATTTGGATAGGAAGTATACCAGTCTTCACAAACCTTCTTGGAATCAAACAAGCTACGACAATGCAACTAACAATGTCTGGAATACATTTTGTTTTGTCAGGAAAGCTGTGGGCATTATTTGATGTGGAAATTAACGTCACTTCTGGATTGAATTCTTTTAAATCAATGGTACTACATGCGGATGGTGATATCTCTGTTGAGGGTCCATTTTCTTTAGCAAGAATTATCAAAGACAAAATAATTACACTAACCCAAAAAGCTGTACATGATAGCGAACGAAGAGTGAAACAAGGCATTAAATCTATCGAAATTGCAAAATCACGGTTAAATTTAGTTTTGGAAGAAGAGCTTTTAAAGAAAGCTGATGTTGATAATGCTCAACAGAAAGTTATATCTGCCAAAGATGATCTACTGGTGGCAAATAATAATGTCGATAATGCACAAGAATCATTGGATGAGTTAAGCGAATACACGGCTGAGGTTAAGGACAAGTTAAAGGATGTATGCGAGGTACTTGAATGCATGGGAAAATGCTTACCCGGAACTAAAATTGTTACTGTCACTGAAGATGTATATGCGTATGTGCCGTACAAATGCTGTGATAACAGAACTGAATTAGCGTTGGTCGAGGAAACAACTAACTGTTGCTGGGCTTGTCAAATACCAACGCCAGTAAAGAGTTTTTCTTTCAGTGTTGACATAATTAAGTTAGCGAAAGCTGCTGTTTCTGCATTTTCTGGTGATTGGTGGAAGGCCGGTGAACAACTAGTATCATCCGTGAAAGTGAAGCGTGGGCAACGCCTGGCTTACTCAAAAGGCGAGTGTTGCGAAGTCTGCAAAAAACCAGTTGAAATCGAAGTTAAATATATGTCATGCAGTACATGCGTTGATTATCAGATTGTAGGTAAAGTGGAAAATATTGGGACGGAAGAAATTGAATGTAGTACGCAGATACCTGATTCAAGCTGTGTGAGTCACAATGAAGATTGCAGAGAAACACGAAGCTATTTATTTGAGTCTCTGAAAATAACAACGCCAGGTCTTGTAGATCCGATTGAAGCGTTGGATAACGCTGTCTTGCATGCCTCAATTGCTGAAGCAGTATTGAATGAAGCATTAATTGAACTTGATGACGCCGTGAGTCAACATGAAGAAGTGTCGGCTAGAGTTCAAACATTACAGGCATATCTTGATATTATGCAGAGTGCACAAATCCAAATAAGTGAGGATGTCCAAGCAGGCCTTGCTATTAAAGAACTTCAGATTAACGGATCGATTGAAGCAAGTTTAGAGTTCAAGAAACTTAAATTTGACATCGACTTAGTTGGAGAGGACACTACAGTAATTCCAGTCTTATGTTACCTTACGCTGGAGTCTATTCCTGTACAGATTCAAATTTTTATTGACTTCAACAATTTAAATTTCACAATCGAAAATGCTGCACTCTTTATAACAGAAGAATTGTTCGGTGATATAACTAGGTCAGTAAGAAGGAGAAGGGAAGCAAGTTCGAGACGTCACAGACCTTTCCATGATCGAATCAGACGTGATACTACTATTATTGAACAACCACCGATCGACACTGTGGATTATATTGTGATAAACAAAACATTGGGTCACAACATAAACAGTATTATTTCTCGAGATCTTAATGTTGTTCAGAATGATGCGAGATGCGAAGACTTTAACAACATTCTAAATTTTGTCAAGCTTTCCTTCCAAACCTTGTTAGAGATTGCAAACTTCAGCAAAGTGAATAACGTGCAGACATTAGAAAATGTAGACGACATCCTCAATGCATACATTTACAATCTATCATCACCATTACCAGAAGTTGTAAGTGATAGTGTTGCTTTAGAGTATTTTAACTTAACTGTGAACGACTTAAAAGATATAAACAAAAGTTCAGGTTACAGACTTGAGAAAAATGCTTTGACAAAAGTTATCTATTCAGCAATGGTAAAGGCTAACAACACAAAGTCTTTGCTTGAGGCTGACGACGTTCTGTCTAGATGGGAAGACACAATGGAAACCTACACACGTAATTACAGTGGACTGACTGATTGTGAAGGATTCAATGATTGTTTGACAACTGAATTGATCGGTTTGAAATATTTGGCTGAAGGTAGACAAATTTATCAAAATGTAATCGACTTTGATGAATATGTATCAACTATATTAGATAAAGATACATTCAGTGTCAAAGAAGCTGAAACAAGTGCAAGGCACGTACTTAATGAAGTTATATTTCTTAGCAGGAATAACGACATATGTTTAAAAGAACCAATAATTACCAAGCATCCTGAATCAAACATTGTGACCCTCGAAGGAAATGACGTCACCATAATGTGCCAAGCGTCCGGAATTCCGTCACCAACATTTAGCTGGATGTTTAATGGTCATACATTAAGTGGTGAACATCTAAATTCACTTTTCCTAACAAAGGTGGATGCCTCTCACTCGGGTACTTATATTTGCCTTGCGAAAAACACAGTAACTTCAGTTCAGTCAATGCAATGTGATGTCACAGTAGAATTTGCGCCATTAATCACTGAACATCCACAAGACATTGACATTGAGCACGGACATCCCGAAGGCATATTCTTAACTTGCAAAGGAACCGCTCTTCCATTACCAAACTATCAGTGGTATTTCCAGTCCGCATCATCAATGACCATGAAGGCCATCTTAGGTCAGAATGCCTCTGGTCTAGAGATTTTAAGTCCAGAATATAGCCAAGACGGATGGTATACATGTAAAGTGTCAAACATACATGGTAGTCACATGTCTAATCCTGCTAGACTGAATGTGCTTGAAGTATCTGTGCCAGAATTCTCCAGTGACATTACGATTACCCTTTTCCGATTGGATGATTATAACTCGACGTATATAAATATATCTTTGGAAGATGTAATTTCACAGGTCATTAAAGACGATGAGCCAGAACTCGAACGTTTAAATTATAAAGAATCAAATCCCACTGGCATGGCATTTCTTACTGAAATCACTTTTGACATTATAAGTACAAACGCCACATCAATTGATTTTATGAATGCAAGTCGACATGAATTGGCGTATCAAGTTCAACAGAAAATTGAACAGGTACGTGTTAAAGTTGCCAAACTTAACGATTTGTTGACTCCAGGAAGAATATTTGAACACCGAGGAGAATTACTTGAGGTGACATTGTTCAACGCTGGTTTTAATGGCCCAATATGTCCCATCACCCAATACGCACATCAGAATGGATATATTTGCGGTGAGTTTGATTTTTTTTACTAATGATTTATATTTAAGATATACATTAGACTAGAAATTGCAAATTGCAAGTGAAGTGCTGCAAGGTACAACTGCATATAAATGTTCTTCCAACAAAATTATTTATGCAAGTCAAGTGAAAATAATGAATAATAAAAATATAACAAATAATATGAGACACGACCCATTATCTATATTAGAACACTCCTCATTGGGTAACAAAGTCGTAATTTTTCATTTTTGTCAAAAAGTGTCTATAGTGGTGAATTATGGTTTAGGTTTTTTTTAATAAAGTTTCAAAAATTTCTATATATGTGGAAAATGTAGGTTACAATTTTTATTTTGAAGACTGGTCTAGGAAGTGTACATTTTTTATGGGGCAAGTTTCCAAGGGCGGGTTTTCTAGGGGCGAGTTGACTGCCAAAGAGTGTTGCTAAAGTGCGAGCCAGCGTGTTATTTGATCACAAGTGCGAGACATCGCAAGGGGTGAGCCAGAGGGCCATGACGTCACGACAATAGATACGAGAAGTTACTCTAGTTGTGCGAGGTATCGGCTGAGATTGTGGAGTACAATTCAAAAAACAACTATAGGTCTAATAATGAATTATTGTGATGTTAAATAGACAATGTTAGCTATTAAGGAACGACGTTGTTTTTCATTGGGACCTTCCCTTCAAGGCTAGGCCTAATACCATCCTAGCTAGTCTAGCCTGGAGTAGGATAAGGCTAGCGAGACATGCGGACGTTGGTACGTGTTGGTTAGTCTACAAACGTTGCCTAAAGTAATTGATTTTACCCGGCAGAACGAAACAAGGAGACTCCGCTTTTCAGTCGTCTTAGGCCCTTGTTTTTTGACAAACAATGACCTTTCAGATATCAAATTGCTGTCAAGAATATGAATTGGCTGCTTCGCAGCAAAAATATTAAAATAAAAAGAAAACTAAATGTAATAATAGGGCATTAAAAAATTGCATCAGGTAATACTGTAGGTGTAAAAATGAATTAAAAATTATCTAGCATTTGATTCCATTCGTGTACTCCATATTTCAACCATATATTTAATTTTGTTTTAGTATTGTCATCAAGGAATAAGCAATCGGTAGAGCTCCGCATAGTACACTATAGGAAAATTATTATACAAAGGTTAGATTTAATGCTTGAAAAATTGTTGAATGCATTAAATCTAGCCTAAGTATAATAGCTTTCAATTAAGTGTACGATGCATGCTCTACTAATTGCTTTATAAGTCAATTGCCGTCTTTTAATTTTAGTTTTTTATAACCAACTGTTGTAGCAGTCATCGGTTGCTATAGTGATATGATAAGTATACGTGTGCATATTTACATTTAGCTGTGCGTATGCTGATTTTTGCTCCTGCAGTACCCGTTTAATTAACTACACATCAGCAATATCAATACGGATACGATGAATACGGTAACTATTGTGTTAGAAAGAACTTGTTTGTAATGCTATTTTGATAGATTTTGTCAAAGAAATAAACATTTCAACATCCGAGAGAGAATACAGTCACTGACGTCCTTTTTGGTCGGTGCATGCAGCCAGGTAAAATCGTGCGATGATTTCATTAAACTAGGCTAGGCTACGGCCTAGTAGCATGAGGAGGCCCAGACGGCCTCCTGCCTAGCCGTAGACCCACATCTAAATTTGTTTCTTGAGTCTTTAAAATAGGTCTATTCCTATTAAACGTTCAGTTTGTTGTGTTTATGAGGGTCCATTGATTCAATGAATTCCTTAATTGTTCATACTTAATATTGAATTTGAAGTAACTTTCTTTGGGTTCTAATTAAGCTTGTTTTACGAAAGTAATTTTCAATTTTTATCGCGTTGCGCGATGTATTCGCGGTGACAAAAAAATGAGGAATTTTTTTTGTCACATGAACCTAAAAAAATCAAGCCAAGCATCCACTAATAGAAAAATTAGTGGACGCTGGGGAATAGGCAAATAACATTGGGAGTTACAGTGATGACGTCATGATTAACTTATAATAGATATTGTTATTTGTTATGTTTTCATAGTGAATTGTCCTCCTGGATCATATCGAGGCAACAATAAACTGCCTGCAACCTGCCAGCAATGCCCATGGGGATTCTATCAACCAGATGAAGGACAGACAGAATGCATTGTATGCGATGGTGACATTGTCACAGATTCTGGAGCAAGACTCTGCCCTCGTATGTGATTATGATTTATATATTATAACATAATTGTTAGAATTTTAAAAACATTTCAAAATGATTTGTAATTTAGACTATTGGGAGCGGTTAATTTTCTGTCTCTCCTAGAGGTCGGGTGTTTGAACCTCAGCTGTGCATTTTGCTGTGTTCTTGGACAAGGCACTTTATCTACTTTTGTCTCTCATCACCCAGGAGTATAAATGGGTACCCGTTAGTTCACTACTAGGGAGGAAAAGACGACGTGGAAACGAACTGGCCACCCCACCACCAGTGGCGTAACTAGGTTTTGAGGGGCCCTGGTTCAAGAGTACAGTCGGGGCCCTTGACACATGCAAATTCACTGACGACCATGTCAACTAAGATGTGTACCACTGATGGGTTAGTTTAGGAGCAGGGGTCCCTCCGATTTTTTATACTATTTTGACCAAAAAAAATCTTTCAAATTTTTCAATTTTTAATTTTTAGATGTTCACAGAGGGCATTTTTGAAGAGCCAGCTATTGGCTAGACTGACCATAATCCCATTAAACAACGTTGTATTTTCAAATTGCTTCTTTTGGTATATAGTTACTTGCGTTTCACAAACCATTATATTTTTTGCATCACTTAAAATGTCATGTACCTATCCGCCATCTTCGTTCATCTTCAAAAAATCTTTTGACAGTTCCATCTCCTCGAAACAAAACCAAAACATATGGTGAACATGCTTTTTCTGTTCAAGCTCCTTCTCTGTGGAATTCTCTTCCTTTTTCTGTTCGTAATTCGCCTAATTTATATTCTTTTAAGAAGAACTTAAAGTTTCATCTTTTTGAGAAATGTTACTGAGTTTGTTTTCTCCTGCACCTTTGATAAATTTTTTAATTGGCGTTATATAAATGTTTATTATTATTATTAACCAATTAATTGTTTTGACACAATAAATTATACATTACTACTAGCAAAAATTGAGCACTCTGGATGCTGTCATCTTAAGCTAGAATTCCTTAAAGTCTAACATAATTAGCTTCTAAGCACCACACATCGGGTGGCTCTAAAAATATATTTAATGGAATGATTTTAATTTTTGCATGATCCAAATTGTTTTGCATCTTATATTTGAGAGTTCGATGTAATTATACATGTGAAATTCATATCCTGTTATGGATGACATATGTTGCTGTTGGATTTTGGTGAAAAATAATGCATGTTTAACAGTTCGTGCTGTAAGCGGTCAGGCTGGGGTACAAACATTGAATTCAATGATTGAATTAGGTCTAATAATAAATATTGAAAAGAAGAAAAGAATATAGTATTATATAAATGACAATTTTACATCCATTTTTTTTATGAATTTATTGCTAATCGGAATTAGAATGCGAATGTATTTTCATTATTGGAGAAAAAGCTACAATGTGTATAAATGCCATTATTTTTACAATATACATATGGCGCAACAGGGCTAGGGTTTGTAATCACAGATTATCTTGTTTAAATTTGCATTATTTCTGTATGCACCTGCATTCCTTCTTTTCATCCAGGAGTTTGAGTTACTGGTGAGGTACCTGCTCCTGTGCTGAGTACTTTAATAATTATCTGGGTTCAACAAACAGTGGAAAGCATTTCGTATAATGGCAGTGATATAAATAATATACAGATTTTAGAATAAATAATACATATATATTTTCAGCTAAAGATGATGTCTTGCCAAGTGACACAGTGACAACAGTATTAAATGGCACTAGTACTCTATTGTTTCATGAGCCTGAAACAAATCAATTGGTAAGTTTATATTTAGATATATTTTGAATATCAATTTCTTTGTTACACTTTGTCATTGCTTACTAGGTTTATTCCCATGTAATAGTTATATGGTAATAATAGACCGGACAATAATTTATATAGAGCATTTTATTAGAAGTGGCAAAGTAGTTTACAAGAAGTAGTATTTAAGTATTAAAAGTAAAAATTATAAAATACAAATATAATATACGAGTAAAAATCAATATACTTAATAAATTTAGATAAAAATGCAAAGTGATAAAATGATCACGCATGGTGGTAAGTTTTTGTTGTTGGGGAAATAATATTTGCATAATGTTAAATCCGTGAGTAAAAAGATAAAGATTGGATGGCTCAAGTTCATGTGGTTTGATTAAGGTATTTATGGACCTTCGATATATTTCTGAAGTATAAGTTAGTCTTATGCCAGATCAAACTGATTTGAAGAAGCATGCATTGTGTTTCATAAAACAATAACGTAAATAACATCCATGAATTAAAGAAAAGTTTGTAATATATAATTTAAATATAAAATTAACTAAAGACATGTGCAATGATTACTCAGATTTTTGATATTGATCAAACTGATTGAAACAGGAATATGTTTTTATCATTTTTATCATTATCCAAGTTAAATTCTGAGATAAGATTTTCAAAAATATATGGCCTACTATTCCTTTATTATTGAGTTTATAATTTTTATGTTAATGAGCACGGTATTCTAAAGAATATATTTCCATAAATAGTTTTTTGACATTTTTCAGGGGCAACACATCTTTGACAAAGTTCCATGTTTTTACATAATGTATACTTTTTAATAGTTTAAATGCATTCAAAGAAAAATAAAACATAGTTTGCATCAATTGATGAACATGCTGTTACTTTTTTCTGTACAAGGATGGTAAAGTTTTCATCTACGCCATTGGGGGTGGTAGCGGTGGATTAGCTGTTTTAGTAGTAGTCATTGTTATCATCGGTAAGTAATAATAATTAATCAAACACGTTCTCTGCTAGGGCATATAGAATGGATGGCATATGTTGATACTTTAGTTTTGTTTTTTTTTTTTCATAATTCTATTGAAAATTTATATCATTTTTTTCATTCCAGTATGTCATCAACGAAAGAAAAAAGAGAAAAGATAGGAGAAGAATACAACGTTTCCTTCAAAAAAACGGATTCTGAAGGAAATAATGACTTACCACTAGAAACTCGCAGTGGTCCCTCAACATAAAATAGTTAAACAAGGCCTAGTATGATTCTGATTGCATTGATATTAAGAAATTAATAAACATTGTACTGATGGTAACATCAGTGATAAATGATAATGATATGTCGGGATTTTAATGGTGTAGGTAAGTTAATGGTGTACATCTACGTTTCAAGTTAATTGAACACATAATAGTCCCAACTCAAATAGAAAGAACATTTAAGATGGATCGTTTTACCTAAAAGAAGGGCCTCAATGTGTATTGATGGTGAAAGAATATGTTTTTTAATACATAAAATCATGATGAAAATGCTTATATTCAGTTCCAAACACATGTGTGTGGCAAATATTATAAATAAGATAAGCCTTATGTCGTATTATTTTCGAAATGGAGGAAGGGGGGGGGGTTGGTTTAGGTGGGTATGATAAATTACTAACCGGGAGAATTATTTCCTCTGCCCCACTGACCCAGGACCCATGTTATGCGCCTGCTAGGTTAGCTTAGGTTTACGAAGGATCACATAACATTCCAAAGCATACAAAACACATTGAACACTAGAATAAGTAAATAAAACTATTTTTTAACAATTGTAGGCCTCTCCTTAATAGTCGTTTCTCACGTTAATGGTGGGTGAATGTTTCGAAAATATATACTTTAATACTGATTACATTGTCAGTTTGCCATAGTAATACCCACTATATATCACGTGACTGACTGTAAACAAACCTCACGGAATGTGTCTATTGAGGGAGAGTTTTACAGAAGTAATTCTCGAATATTGCATTATATAATTGTACACAGATTACGGTATTGTCATGAATAAATATTATAATTTTTATTTTATGAAATTTAATCTAAGTTATAACGCAAATGTTGTTCGGCCATGTTTCTTTTTGTCACATGGATAACTTAACGTTGATTAACGCACTACGTTACCCACATGGCCATTTTTTACGGATTAACTTTCGCAATTTGCATATTTGTACAGATGTACTTCTTCGTTTATGTACCTGCTTAGCGCATAACAGCCAAAAGAATTTTGATTTCAAAAGGAAAGGTTGTTTGCTTTGCAAGTCAGTTTTTGCTTCAGAATTTTAAGTAGATTAATATTATTGTCTATAAATTATTCTATTAAAGCATTTGAATTACAATATTAAAGCATTGCATTTATCGGATGTGTCCAGTGTTCTATACTGAATACTAATCTATGCAGGTTTGATATCATATGTTTAAATAATATGCCAGGGTAGACACTGTGTGTGTCATTATGCATGAATTTAATTATAGCGATAGATGCGCTTAAAACGTAGGCCTATTTTTATTCATCAGTAGTGATCAATGTATTTAATTATAGACTCATGAGAATCGTCAGCCGGAGTATCAACAATTAAGTTGATAGCATGATATGAAACTTGTGTAGTGATTGGTCCAGGTATTACTTGTTCATAATCACTAATGCTATGGCGTTAATTATTAATCTTAGTGTATTTTTAATGATTGTTGTAATTAAAAATAAGTATGTGCTCTTATCCTTATAATTCATACATGAAATAAAATTGAATCGTAATAGACACAGTTTGAACTGTTTAATATTTAATGTTTTGACGGTGTAGTTTCACTGGGTTGTTTAATATTGGTGTGCATGAAGTGAAGTGTTTTGCCAATAGAGCCTATACATTCTTACGCTTAACTTAAACTTGCAATTTTATTAAATTTTTCACCGGTTGATGTCTGTTAATAGTTTTATCAATACATTATGCAATAATATAATGCAATTGAATATTAATGGTTCATGGTTTTTGATGTTCCATTTGCAAATATTTCTTATTAAAGTTTGAAAATGAAATAATCAAATAGTCGTTTCGTTTCATCGTTATTGTCTATATCAATCAATTCCCGGTGCAATCCCCGAACCAAAACCGTGTCATATTAAACGGATTTAAACTGTATTAACTAATCTCATAAGCATCTTTTTTAATTTATAGAATTAAGGGTTATGCATACAATATCATTCCTAATAATAATTGTTGGCTTTAATGACTATATTCTCATGTTTTTGCAAATACTGTAATGGCATTTCCATTGCTCTAAAATAATTAAGTAGGAAAACAATTAAAGTTAACAACTTAAAATTTTGTCTGCCATTTATTTTTATTTCCATTACTATATATATATATATATATATATATATATATATATATATAGGCCTATATATATATATTATACCTATTATATATGTATATATAGCCATTAATAATCGTACACTTATTTTACGTATACCCTTTTTTATACCATGTTCTTTTTGCACTGTCTGAGCTCACTTAGCTCATTGTAAGGATCATGCAAAGAAGACCACTGCTATGGAAGCCAAGGTCTTGGCTTTAACTTTGTAACTTATTCTAATTACGTATATCCCTCTGATTGAACAGCTTTCGCAAAATTTACAAAATTCATAAATCAGACTGTAGGCCTGCACACGTTCTTATTCTAGCACTTTCTGAGCTTACACTTAAATCAGTGTAAGGATCATGCAAAGAACACCACTGCCATGGAAGCCAAGTTCCTGGCTTAACATTTTCACGAGAGTTAGGACGACGATAAAAAACTACAATAAAATATTCACGAGTTTGCCAAAGCAGGAAGGCAATATTATAAATATATAGCGCAACCAACCAGGGACGTAGCCAGGATTTTGAAAGGAGGGGGGGAGCCGTTATGCGAATTACGTATGACCCCGGCGGGAGAATCCCCCTGTGAAGTAGCGCACTCTGAACGTTCTTAGGACTGTTTGAGAGGATAAAATGAAAATTGCAATAGACGCATTATACATAAGCGCAAAAATAATATAATAAATCAACAATGGCAGATACAGGAATTCGAAAGAGAGGTGAACCAGGGAGGGACTTTCACAGACCGAGGAACCACCCACCTCAGCCCCACCATGGTTGGGGCTGAGGTAAGAAAATTTATAATTAGGGCATCTCTAGATGGCCGGAAATTACACTCTCGCAATTCAATTTGAATATACTCTCGCACTTTAATTTGAATATATTTTTCTTTGACAGCAGTCACTAGAGACATACATCAGGAGCCGACTCGATGTAGTTTAATGTCAAACCCAGGGAAGGGCACAGATCGGTTTTGAAAGGTGGAGGGGGAGGGCATTTTGTGAGTCGACACCCACCTCAGCCCCACAATGGTTGGAGCTGAGGTGAGAAAATTTGAGGAAATAGTACCTCTAGATGGCCAGAAATGACACTTTAGTAAAATTCATCATCATCACATCACCATTAGTCAAAATGAAGCGCCAAAAAAAATTCTCGTGATCTTTTATCAGCGATTTTTGACAACCATAGAGATCTAATTAATGTATGTGTGTATCCCATAGAAAACAAAACATTGTCTTTGAGTACCGGTATGTACTTTACATAAACCTACTTCAAAAACGTGATTTCACAACCACCTCAGGAAATAGTACTTCTCGAGATGGCCGGAAATGACACTTTTATATAGTAAAATTCATCATCATCACATTACCATTATAGTCAAAATGAAACGCCAACAAATTTCTCATGATCTTTTATCAGGGATCTACTTAATATCCAGGACAACTTAGGCCTAATTATAGCTTACTAAGCTTTAACTATATATACTATACTATGATCAACAAATCACAACTTTTTTTCGCATTTAGTACAATTTTCTTCACTTTTTATTGTTATTAATATTAATATCAATTATTACTATCGTCATCATCATCATTGTTATTATTATTATTACTATTAGTAGTAGTATTATTAAACAAACATTTAAAGAAACTTGCAAAAGGATAAAAACGAAATTGAAACACAGTATCGCATTTCTATCTTAAAAGACCTGGCCTGAAATTTATGGATTTAAGATTTTTTTTAATCACGATTAGGCCTATGTGTTCTATTAGGCCTATGTATAACGGGTACTGATGCATATTTACATGTTTAGTAGTATTCATTTTGAGTGATCCCAGGAAATAATTTGTATTGGCTCAAGAATAAGCTTTAAAATTTTAACAGTGTGTACAAAGGGGGGGAGCCGCGGCTCCCACGTCCCTGCAACCAACACCGCCATCGAGGATCTTTTTTTCAGTATTCAAAGATCAACATCAATGAATCATACATACCTTTGGATCCTTAATGGGACCATTTGTGCTTATCAAAGTTTAATCAATAATAGGCCTGTTTGGCTTAGACTGATGCAGTAGTTTTTGACACAATTAGGTCTGTCGGAATGTTTGCTTTTATTGAAGTCAATCCAGGTACTTAACGGAATACCAAAACAGACTATTGTATGCTAATCTAGGATTCAGTCACCTTTCTGTCGATATTGCACTGCATTTTTAGGGCAAGAGAATATACTGTATAAGTACTGTGCAATTAGAGTTTAGCTTGTTTCCTCATTGCAGAAAGAGGGAAAAATAAGGGACTGGAACAAACTTATGTTTCTTTAAATCGAAACAAGTTCATAATGCAGGTGTTCAGCTTGGTTCCTCATTAAAAAAAAAAACTAATAATAATCTGTTAGGCCTACTGCAAGATACTGATTAGATCAAAACAGGATAATCACTGTTTAGAATCCATATACGAGTGGAATCGGATGTAGATCTAAGAAGGTTGTGTAAATTTGCGAGTATTGCTTACAATCATTTTCATTATTGTTTTATCTATACATTTCGTCCGTGGTTAATATAATTGGTATATGCCCAGTTATTTTAATGGCATGCATAATGATTTTACAGGTCTTTATTATGCTTCCTAGAATATCTGTACCATACAATTCAATTAGATACTCTCTATAATACTTTTGTAAAATAATTGTCTTCGTCAGCTTGCGTAGGATTTGTGTGAGTTAATCTGTTCTATTTTCTCTATGGTTAAACGCAGACGCAATGGTTTGCGTCGGGGCCAGTCGCGTCGTAGAATATTTAACATGTTTAATATTTCTCACGACGGCACAAGACTGTCCTCGACGAGGAATCGCGTCGGGCTGCGTCGTACGACGCTGTCTGAGTTACCCTTTTATAGAATAAAATTATAAGTAAACTTTCAGGTGTAACCTATTTATATATAACCATACTGAAACTAGCGAGAAGAGGTGTATGAAAATACTGTGTACTGTGTGTACCAATACCAAAGAAACATAAAGCTACATATCATACTATAATAATATTTGCCACAAATAGGCTAAACGTAGTATGTTTTTGACGCATCTAGGCTTGTCAGTTCGTGATTGTTTCCTTTCATTGTAGTCTTTAATGCAGAGAGACTATTCAGGTAATACAAGTATAAAAGACCTCGTGCATATGCTTGTACTTTGTAAGTTCAGTGGTACAGCATCTATTATGTGGATATCAAACTATCTGCTGATAGCATGAATAATGTAATTATTTTATAATTCAAATTCAGCTAGTTTCCTCATTCCAAAAAAGGGGGAAAATAAGGGGTATAGATTTAACTGATTTTGTTTAAAACTTGGTAATAATGCAGACAGTTGAGCTAATATTCCTCATTCAAAAAAAAAAAATAATAATAATAAAATTTTCATTATAGATAAACATTGTAATAATTATGGGGGAATTTCCCATATATTTGTATAAAAATTTGTTTCCTGAATTCAACTAATAGGCTATGCTTTGATTTTACTAGAAAACTAAGGTAGGGTGACGATTTCATAGAACTTAACATTTCATTTCATTTGATTTATTCGTCTCAAAATGTTAAAACTGACAATAAAGGAAACAGCAAAATGTACAGACAATATGAGACAGGAGACCCAAAAAGTGAAATTAATCACTGTCG